TGCAGAACCCCCATCATGAGGGTGTGGGAGACCTCACCTCTGGGGAAAGTGAGGAGGAAGTGGGGGCTGCTGATTCTCCCCCAGTGCTCTTGACTCTCGGTGGAGTGGTATGTGAGCACAGGAAGTCCTGAAGGGCCTCTAGAGAGAATTTGTAGTGCCCATGGTTTGTCATCTTACAGTGATTTATTTATTCTTATTTCCAGTTTGTGCAGATCTTTGTCAGGTATTAATTGTGGATAAAGAAAAAGAAACTCATGGGACCAGCAGTTGGCATAATGTCTATGTCGCTGGACTCCCATATAGTCTACCACGGTTTGAGTTCTGGACCCAGTGGCTTAAAATCACGCAGTGCACATGTGCGTGTGTGCCCCAGATCCTAAGAGAAGAATGAAGGATAGGGAATTGTGGCGTGGCCATTCTCCCTAGGGGGGTGATTTCTCTCTCTCTCTCTCTCTCTCTCTCTGTCTTTCTAGAAAGTGCATGCACCCTATAGCAAAAGCCTCTCAAAAAAAAATAGAAAAAATACTCACAATTTTTAAGTGCTGAGTTTTTGAGTTTATGATAATAAAAACAGGACAGAGATTCCAGCTTTCAAAACAACTGACTCAAAGACTGTATTTCTAGTTCAAATTATTGTTTTATTGTCAACAATTCCTAATAACAGTTAGGTTGGTTTTGATAAAGAGCAGAAGTTCCTTCTTTGATGACAAAAATAGAACAGCACCAAGCTTTTAGGATGGCTCTATAGTTCAAGGGCTTCAAGAATGTGAGACTTTTAGAAATATAAATCTTTTCTATTCTCTGCGAGATGAAGTTCCCAGTACCCAAAGGAGGGAGGTGAAGGCCATAATATCAGTTTTAGTTTCTCAGTATCTAAATAAATATATTCTAATATGTAATTTTCTCTTACCAACATGTAGTTCTTACTAGAAGTGCGTCTCCACCAATTGCACTGATAGGACGAAGGCTGTCATGTCAGCTCCTTATCCTTCCCACTCTTGATCCCAAACAGTAGAAAACAGCCATAAGGAGCTGAATGGGGGTTGGAAACTAAAGGGCAAACATGACAGCAGGTGCCCAGTGAGTCCCAGCACTTTTGTGAAAAGCTGAATCAGAGAATGTGGCTAAACTCCCTGTTAAACAGGCGGCTTCTGCCTCCTTAAATCTAGACAGAAGAATTGGGTCCTTGTGTCCCTTTGGACCTACCTAGGTACTTGCTTGTCTAGTTCCCGTGTGATCACAGACCTGTGCTAGCCAGAGAAGGCATCTGACACGTGTACCTCTTCATGTGGTGGTCTTACCCTCAGGGCTGTCATTTCAGTCTCTGTGACGGACTCTTCTCCGAACATGCAGCCTAGGCAGGCTGTGCCGAGGGAAGCCGAACTGTTCTTCTAGTACTCCTTTCCTCTGGGGAGGGAAGTGCACTTTCCTACAGCATAATCCCCTCTGTGGCAAGGATCATTTTGCTAAATTTAAGAATGAAGATGGATTCTGGAACTAGAGAAGGGGAGAAGGATAGGAACATGAGGAGAATTTGGTTACTAGATACAAGAGTGCAGGTAGACAAGGGGAATGGGTTCTAGAGTGCCACAGCACCTGCAGAGCGACGATCATTGCTGTCAATGTCTATTTCAAACATAGGAGAGCAGATTTTAATGTGCCCAACACAAAGTAGTTATAAATGTTGGACATGGTGGATACGTTCTTGCCTTGATTTGACGATTACACAAAGTCTACATGCTTTGAAAAACACGCTGTGCTCCGTAAATACAAGGGGTCTTCCAAAAGTTCATGGAAAATGCATATCAGGAACAAACCAGGCATAAGTATCAATTTTTACACCACAATATAGTCACAGTTTACTTCCATTTGTTTCCATAAACATTTGAAATGCCCTTGTGTGTACAACTATTATATGTAAATTAGAAATTATGATAGGAAGAAAAGAAAAAAATAACATTCGTAGCAAGAGTAATGTAAGTGCAGTGAATTAAATTTAATTTGCACATAATTACAAATACAAACCAGAGTTCCTTTTGTATGGGTTCATTTCAGTCTATGTTCTCAAGAGCAGTTGGCCCCTCACAGTCCAATCACTTATGCCTCTGTGTTGGTTGTATCTGTGCACTGTGTGCTCTGAGGAGGGACCACTTTGGAGGACAGGGAGTATTAGACTTGGGAGATGTTGGGGAGAGAGAATTGGGGAACGGTTACAGAGGTCCACACTCAGGCAGAAGAGCAGTCTGGAAACAGAAGGGGTGGCTATGTACATGACCAGAAACGGACTCCTCAGTTGGAGCCCGGGATTGCACCTCCCACCTGCCACTGAGCACATACACTGCCTGAGCCTGGCATCCTGTCCTTCCTGCTTTCCCAGGATCATATTCAGACTTGGAACAGGTCTGGACACCTATCCTTGGGCCAGTGAGTGAGAGTGAAGGCAGAGGAGGCTGTGTCTCCAAGGACAGAGGTGGCAGTGGAAACCTAAGTAAAGAGCATGGGGTCTGTGGCCTTGAGTCCTGCCACAAAGTTCGAAATGAAGACTTTCTGAGTCGACTGCTCCCTCTAAGACTCTGTAGGCAGCAGGACCATTGTACTGTGGGCTCCTGCCAAGGCCATGACTTCCATGCCTCTCTTGGTTCACTTGCAGCATCAGCACAGATGACGACGACTCCCTTCCCAATCCCTTCTCTACTCTGCTTCTAGGACCTCCCCGGTGTTCTTCTGACATCCTTGGCAAACCTATCTTTATCTCCAGCCCTGATTTCTCCACATGCTGGAGGGTCCCAGGCTGTCTCCAGACCTTCCTCTTCTCTGTCCATCCACATTCATTTACAGCCTAGAAATTCCTATTATTTCCTGATAACTTCCAATCATCCTTCTCCATCCGGGACTTCCCCTCATCCTGGGCCAGTTTGTTCAGCTCTCTCGTGACATCTCCACTTACTTGCCACACAGGCCTTTCAACTAACACATCTGGAAAAGAACTGGATCTTCCCACCCACATCTGGCATTCTTTGCTTCAGATGTCAGGAGTAACAACCTTGGCGTCCTATTTACCCTTTTCCACTTTTCTCTGTTAGCGAACAGTTCATTCTGCCTGCTAAATGTTCCCAGAATCAGGCACTGTTCCACCACCTCTACCAGCACCTCCTGGAACTTAGCCTCTGTCACAGTTCACCCATGTGGGTCTGATGCCCTCCCAGCTCTCTCCTCCTTTCCTTGGCTCAGTCCTCCATCCAGTAGCCAGAGTGGTCCTCCCAAAGACCAGCAGATCAGGGCACTCCTCTGCCAAAAGCCTCCTGGTGTAGTGCAACCTCAGTCAGAGTAAGTGCTTTTCTCCACCATGCCATCACCTCTGCACCCACCTGAGGGTCTTTGCACCTGCAGTATCCTATCCTTTGCCTGCAGCATGCTTCTCTGACAACAAGGAAAAAAATGTGACACTCCCCCACAAACCTCTAGCACTGCCCCCTTCTGCCTGAGTGCTCTTCCCATCACCTGACATGGGCTGACTCCCCGGTCCCTGTGACTGTTTGCAACCCTGCTTCTACATTAACATGCAAACCTCACGAGGCCCGGAGATTTGGTTTCCTGCGTTCATTCTAGGCCCAGCACCTGGTTTGTGCCTGGTAGGTGCTTAGTAACAGTTGTGATGAGTGAGTCATTTTGAAGCAATGAATGAATGAGGAATTTTGTAGGATTTCTGCTCAAATTCCTCCCCCCACCCCCAAGTCACCTGGAGAAAAAAAATGAAACTGGAAAGAGAACCACAATGGATGAATTAGAGTCAGAAAGTAGTATGCTATGTAAGGAGGCTCCACCCGGCTTGGTTCGCTGCAGGGTGAGATTTCAGAGATTCAGTGGTGGTGCTGGTGGTGTGAGTTTGGGTGGTGTAATCACATGTTGATGCTCATCAGTTTCTGGGAAGTCTTCACCCTCTACTCAGGTTCTCTTCTGCTGTGCCCAGGGACCCATGTCTGGTGGGTTCCAGAGCTCCAGGCTCCTGGTCTTGACATTTTAGCAGCCTTCACATTTGTTTTAAGTTCATCTATTTTATTCAGGATAGAGAATATGTACACACATATTATAGAGAGAGGGAGAGAGAATTGCCCTCGACAGGGTCTTGTCACGCTGTAACCCCCTTACCTGGGCCCTCCACTTGTCAGAGTCTTGGGTATGTGCCCAAACACCCAGCCTGTTTTAAGCTGACCCAGGGATTTGAACCTGGTTGGCCACTGTGACTTCTAGCACTGCAGTTTACTTTCCTACTGACTGTACAACCACACTGGGCCTAAGATTCTGCATGAAGATGAGATAATATAATGTGTTTTTTTTTTGTGGTTTTTATTTTTATGATTTATTTCACTTAGCAGGTGTTCTAGGTTCATCCTTGTTATGCAAGTAACATTAATTCCTTCTTTTTAGGGCTGAATAATATTCCATTGAATATAGGTAACATTTTCTTTATCTACTCATCCATTGATGGACATTTAGGTTGACCCCATATCTTGGATCCTATGGTGGTTGTATTTGTTAAGTTTTTGTGAGGACTCTCCATACTGTATTCCGTACTGGCTAGACTAATTTACATTCCCACTAATGGTGCAAAGGTTCCTTTATCTTCACACCCTCTCATCAATTGTTATCTCTTACCTTTTGATAATAAGCATTCTAACATGCGTGAGATGATATCGTATTGTGTGTTTCAAGTTTATTTTTTGAGTCAGAGAATTAAAAGAGAGAGAGAGAGACAGAGATGGTGCCCCGACAGAGTCTTGATTCCATGATCCATCCCCAGCCTTAACCAGTCCCAGATCATAGGCAGGCACATGCTTAGTGTGCACAGGGAGGTCTCTGAACACAAACCTGGAACTTTCCCATGGGGTGTGCCTTGCAGATCATCACCTTTTACCTCAGTGCCAGACTGGCCCCTCACTGTGGTTTTGAATTGCACTTCCCGGATGGTGAGTGCTGTTGAACACCTTTTCATATACCTGTGGACCTCTGTAGGTCTTCTCTAGAGAGGTGTTTCATCAGCTCCTTTGCTTATTTTTGAAACTGTGTTATTTGTTTTCTTACTGGTGAGTTGAATTCCTAGGAACTGAGCTCCAGGGAGTGAAGTGGCAGGTCATCCAGTGAGTTGGGACATTCTCTGCCATGTGTTAGGAAACTTGGTGATCTTGCTGTCCTGGCTAACAGGTGGGCCAGGAGTAAAAGCCCAGGCTCCCCTATTTTCCAGTCAAAGTCTCTTTCTATGACTCTGCAAGGCATAGAAGCAATTGAAGATGGCTATTCATTTTCTGTTCTTCCTGAAACTACAGAGTTAACTAGAAACTCACAAAGCATGTAATGCTTAGTGGGGGCATGTAGTTATCTGGAAGGCAGTCATAGCTCATAAGAATAATTTGTTTCTAACTTATATAATTGTTATGTTTTCTAGGAAATTAAAAAGATATGGTTCTCACCTGATCAGCTAAATTGTGAAAGTCTTAGCAGGAATCTTTCCAGCACCTTGAACATCTTCAAGAGCAACTTGGAAAAGGCCACTGACCAGGACTGCGTGTGCCAGCCCCTGCTGGAGACCATTCAGGATCATGTGCACATGTACGTCTCAACACGGATCCCGCGGTGTCACCAGCATTCTCATTCACAAGATGTCCAGCATTTTTATTATTTTTAAGTGTGTTTTTAGAAGCTTATTTAATCATTTTTTTATGACAGGGAGACAATAATCTCCAAGAAAGTCTGCGCTCTGCATCCTCCCCTAGTTTACACCAGCCAGGATCATGGGCACATGTGTGCCTGTGTCAGGATCTCCAGATGCAAACCTAGGACCTTCCTGGGTGGCTCAGCATCACCGGGCATTATGTTATATATTGGGCCACCACAGCTGGCACTCTGGGCATCTTTCTTTTTCTTTTTTTTTTGGGGGGGGGAGATTTTTGTTATAGGGTGCATGCATTCACCAGAGATACAGAGAGAGACAGAGAGACAGAAAGCGAGAAATCACCCCTCAGGGGGGATGGCCATGCTTCAGTTCCTTCTCCTCCAGTCACCTCTCAGGATTTTGGGCACACATGCACACATGCCTGGCGTGTGCTTTAAGCGAGGACTCAAAACATAGTTGCCTACATGACCGTCTAGTGACGTAACCATTATGCCAGGTGCTGGTCACTGTCTGGCGTTTTTCAATTTTGAACTTCAGACAATAGTCTGTACAGTATTTTATTGATATGCATATTCATATATGTCTTTTTCTAAATGACAATGTTTTCCATGACTAAGATTTTTTTTAAAGAATTATTTTATGTAACTTTATTTATTTATTTTAATTTGACCAGGGAGAGACAGAGTGAGCAAAAGAGAGAGAGAGAGAGTGAGAAAGCAAGTCACCAGGTCTGGGACTCAAACTGCGGTCAGCCATGTGGGAGTCCAGCATCCTTAACCACCACACCACCAGCCAGCCCCTCCATGACTAACATTTTAAATAGTAAAATGTAAGAGCAACATTAGCCTTCACTTCTCCAGTGGTGAAGGTATTAGATCAAATGTCCTGACCCAGCATTTCAATACGGCATTAGGTATGTTTTGTATGAACAGTCAAGTATGTTTTCAAAGTACCTTCCCGATGGACGGGTTTCGTTCTGTGTTCTCGAAGAGTAAACGAATCGAACAGGAAATCAGGGCCTTGGCAATCTGCAGGTGGCTGATTTGCAGAGAGACCGGCGTTCCTCTGACTTTCGCTGTCCCTGTTTCTCACACATCCCGTGATCTGTTCTACTCTCCTCACATTGTGTGAAAAGCCATTTATTATGCATCCTTATCCCCCTGATTCATCTTGCTTGGCAGCGGCTGTGAGGAAGAATATTGCAGTGTTGGTGTTAATGGATATTCACATACGGACGGTGTCGGGAGACATTGTGTGTCTAATTATCTGAAGAATTTTATGGAAATGTGATCTTGTTATCCAGCTCATCTCCTGGGAACTCAGGCAGTCTTACTCCAACATGGTTGCTGGTGCTTTATCTTGCCTAATTTAGCTTCAATTTTCTGCCATTTTAGGTTGGCCAAAAGCCTTGAAGAGACTTGGTCATCAGGGAATCCTATTGTGAGTTTTCTTAGCAGTTTCGCAGTAACAGGGGGTAAGTAGGTGGTTTTCCAAGTTGGCTCAATTAAAATTGAAATTTATGTTTTCATAAAATATATTACTGAAATAAAACATATAAAGGACAAGTGATGCTACGTGTGATAAATAATTTGGAACTTGGCTGGTCTGATGTATTTGAGGTTTCTAAGGGAAGGCCTACAACTCTGGAGTACCAAAATTAAGGAGGAAGGAAGAGGACCTTCTGTGGGCTGGATTTTGTTTAGGCTTTGCATCTTGGAAGCGCAGTCTGATGTCAGAATTTCCATTTGTTCGACTGTTCAATCTATGCAATTCCTGCCATTCCCTGCAGCATCAGTGTACCAAATCTGAAGAATCTTGGCCAACCTTTATATGACACCCTTGTTAAAAATATGAGATGAGCAGATGCATGGAGAAAAGTGAGTTTCCTAGGAACTTGGTCCCTTGTTTCCTAAGAAAAAGCTTTTTCTAAAAGACATCCTAAAATATATAGATCTCAGGAAGAATGAACAAGTGGCCAGAAAATATGACAAAGTCTGGGCCCTTGTTTACATGTAGGATGAATTTTCTCAGTTACTCCTACAGAGTAAGCTATGACTTGATTCAGTGTCCACAGGATGGACAAAAGAAAGGAACTTATCCTTGCCAGGATGTAATATCAGTTTTTTTCCACAGCAGTAATAATCTACACACAGATCATACAGTCTCCTTTGTTTTGCTTATGTTTTAGATGTCAAAGTAAAAGACTTGCTGAAGAATATCACCAAACTAACTGAAGAGCTTCACTCTTCTATCCACATGTCAGCTGAGACTATCAGTAGTATTCTGGAAGCAAATATTTCCCACGCAAAGGTACAGGGCAGCTTTCTTGTTTGTTCACTCTGTTTACCCAAGGAGCCCTTAGCCAATCTGACACTGTTGGCCTGCTTGCTTTGCTATTCCCTCTCTCTCCTCCCATGGCTGGGGCAACGGGCTCTGTACAAATGATGGAGATGGAGGCAGAAGCTTAATCTGAAAGCGAGCAAGGAACCCACGGGCATCACTGTCCCATGGCCAAACTTCGGGGCCTTTAGTTTCATAACATTGGGGTTAGAAAAGATAAAATTGGTGATGATATTTATTCGAAATATTTCTAACCCTGACACATGACACTGCAGAAGGTTTCTGCTTGGTTGCAAAATTCTTAAAAAAAAAATACACACATATTGGGTCATTGGACAAGTCATCATAAATTTTCTGTTTTTCTATGCAAAAATAGATCATGACGTCTCTGACGACCAAATATATGTATGTGTGTGTACATACACATATGTACATATACATATATATGCTGAATATGTAAAAATTACATATGGATATATAAAAATCAATCATGATTTCCTTTAAGTGGAGAGTAACCAAAGGATGGACTGTATGCTCCATTTGTGGCTCACTGTGAAAGCAAATGGAAATGATAGTGGTGTTGTCTCTGGGTAGCCTAGCAGCACTGGCTGATAAAACTATCGAAGAGTCACTGCAGCCACCCAAGGGCTAAGACATCCTGGGTGGCACTGGGACAGGCTTACTCATGGAGCAGGGGATAGGTGAACTTCCTGACAGCCACAGCAAGTATCACCCGGATCCTTGGCAGGTGCTTTCTGAAACATACTTTTAGCACTTCCCGGTGGGGTTTTGCCTTCCTGTATAGAGAATCTTCCAGAAATAGTAACCCCTTACATGGCTGACAAGAGAACATTGCCGCTGACAATAAACTGGGCCTCAGAACACATTCAATCTCATGTCAGTTCTGGTTAGTTTGGGATAAATGCATGCTTGACAGGTAGACTAATTGAGAATTAATCTAACTGAAAAGGAAAAAAAGTAAACTAGAAGCTAAGAATCCAAAATTCGAATTACAGTATCAATAAACTACTTGCATCAAGGAAAAATGTCAGTTTCACTTATTAAGCATCACAAATGCCCACAGGTGTTACTTTGGGGGTTTGGGCAGAACTATTTTGAACGTTGCTGACTGGGTCAGCAATCAACCACTAGATGGCACTGTCGTTCTATCGTTCTATCAGCCGGCTTCTGAGAGACGTATAGATAGTTTTGCGGTACTTTTTACTTTCTGTTTGTGTGTATTCCTCTGCCTCTCTGGCAATGCAAGTCATTGTGGTCACCTACAAAGCTGAACAGTTGGGAAACTGGAAAGAATATTTCTTTAAAAAGTTGCATTTTTGCTATTCAAATAAATAATGAGGCTATTTGCTTTGGTAGCAAATGTTTCCATGAATCCACAGGTATCTCTGGAGCTTGGGTAAAGAATTCTTATCTAATTGGGGGGGGGGCACCCTGGCCTCAGGATTTTCTCTGTTGTCAGGGTGACAGCAGCTCCATCTTTCTCCCTGGACGTCTCTTCCACAGTTTATACATATATATGCTGAATATGTAAAAATTACATATGGATATATAAAAATCAATCATGATTTCCTTTAAGTGGAGAGTAACCAAAGGATGGACTGTATGCTCCATTTGTGGCTCACTGTGAAAGCAAATGGAAATGATAGTGGTGTTGTCTCTGGGTAGCCTAGCAGCACTGGCTGATAAAACTATCGAAGAGTCACTGCAGCCACCCAAGGGCTAAGACATCCTGGGTGGCACTGGGACAGGCTTACTCATGGAGCAGGGGATAGGTGAACTTCCTGACAGCCACAGCAAGTATCACCCGGATCCTTGGCAGGTGCTTTCTGAAACATACTTTTAGCACTTCCCGGTGGGGTTTTGCCTTCCTGTATAGAGAATCTTCCAGAAATAGTAACCCCTTACATGGCTGACAAGAGAACATTGCCGCTGACAATAAACTGGGCCTCAGAACACATTCAATCTCATGTCAGTTCTGGTTAGTTTGGGATAAATGCATGCTTGACAGGTAGACTAATTGAGAATTAATCTAACTGAAAAGGAAAAAAAGTAAACTAGAAGCTAAGAATCCAAAATTCGAATTACAGTATCAATAAACTACTTGCATCAAGGAAAAATGTCAGTTTCACTTATTAAGCATCACAAATGCCCACAGGTGTTACTTTGGGGGTTTGGGCAGAACTATTTTGAACGTTGCTGACTGGGTCAGCAATCAACCACTAGATGGCACTGTCGTTCTATCGTTCTATCAGCCGGCTTCTGAGAGACGTATAGATAGTTTTGCGGTACTTTTTACTTTCTGTTTGTGTGTATTCCTCTGCCTCTCTGGCAATGCAAGTCATTGTGGTCACCTACAAAGCTGAACAGTTGGGAAACTGGAAAGAATATTTCTTTAAAAAGTTGCATTTTTGCTATTCAAATAAATAATGAGGCTATTTGCTTTGGTAGCAAATGTTTCCATGAATCCACAGGTATCTCTGGAGCTTGGGTAAAGAATTCTTATCTAATTGGGGGGGGGGCACCCTGGCCTCAGGATTTTCTCTGTTGTCAGGGTGACAGCAGCTCCATCTTTCTCCCTGGACGTCTCTTCCACAGTTTTAGACACTTGCAAATGTATCACACCAGATTTGTAGTCCAAGCTGTTGGGGGTCTGCAGGGAATACTTTCTGTGGTGCTAGGGACTTGCCAAAATCATGAATGTGCCTTCATTCATTCATTCACTTACATTTTCATGTAGGTCAGATTGGTTCCAAAGCCGGGTGTCAATGTCTCTGCTCTAAGACAATAAGTGTGCTGTGGGGGACAACACAGTAAGTACGTAAATGACAGGCAGTTCAAGCTCAGAGACTAGAAAGTTCTGTGAAGCATGCTAATGCAGTGCTGGGGATGGTGGTCACGGGAAAGCTCACTGAGCAGGTGACATTGGTGGTGAACTGAGCTGTGTGAAGAGCTGCCTGAGAGGGAGTCACAGACAGACCAGCGTCAGGGGAGTGCAGAAGGAGCCTAGGTGGGCTGAGATGCTAATCCTGACCCATCTTCTGGTTCTTCCCTGCCCTTTCCCATGCTACCGAGGACCTACCAGGGTGCCTGTGAGGAGCTCCTCTCTCTTGCAGACTCCTTGCTCCAACATCAGTCTCATCCAATTAAAGCCCTAAATCACAGACTTACGGAGCTGTTGGGCCCTGGGGTCCATCTGGCTGGCCTCTCTGGGGTTTGACTCCTCCACCGCTTGGAGCCCTGCGTTTTAGACATTTATCCTAATCAACAGTCACTTCCTTCTTGTATTGGGCCAAAGTTTTATTCTTTTAAAATGAGCAATGAGATTATAGAGTCAGGACTCAGACATATAGAGAGAGCCATCAAAGGGCCTGTCTATCCCTGCTAGACACTCATGCAGCATTTGGGTGACACTGGTCTCCTGCTTGGTGGATGAGCATTATAGTCCTCAGCAGAATTATCTTCCCCTCCCCGTGATTTTTAAGGAAGAAAGAAGAGGGGTCTCCCAGAGTCCGGGTCTCTTCTGAGAGGCTCTTTGAAAGGGTGAGGGATTCTGAGACACTTTGTTATTTCTTCTGGGCAGAAATGATGGCATTTAGTAAATCTGGTCAAATTTTCCTGTCTCACTTAAGACTGGTCCTATGGGCTGGTTCTGTTCTGTTACCTCATGAACAATGCCCTGGTATAATTTGGGGAGTGAGAGATTTCTTATAGGAATTTAGCAACACTGCATGCTCCATTTCTTGTAGCTCATAGAGTTAGTCTAAAGACAGTTATTGGTGTAACTCAACATCAGTGTAGACACCGATCAAATCTATTCAATCTGGCTTTTTACTCTCCCAAGAATTAATGCATGCCTTCAGTTAGGGATTTCTGGAACCATGCAGAGGAATCGAGTAGATGTCTTCTGAAAGATGCCACTTACAATGTGGATGGAGTATCTTATCCTGAAAGGAGCTCATGTTAAGCTGACCCCTCGACCCACCACCATGTCATAAGGTTGGAGTTTATGGTCCTTTTTTCCAAGGTTCCTGGAATGAAGCACTCAGGTCTGTCCTCTACCACCATCTCATTCTCCAGGGCCTAGTACACCAAGAGCTCTTAGAACTCGAGTGTCTCTTATTTGATGGTTCTCCCAGGGTGTTCGCAGTAAATGTGCTAGGTTCTAATCAGCAGTCACTAAAATGAAGTGCAATTCCAGCTATTCTCCCTACATAGTGAGTTAGCATTCTCTAGGTTCAGGAAATCACATTGCTTATTTGTTTACTTAGAATTCTGAGAAATAAATATTGTGTTAAGGGCATTCATGTCTTATTTAACTCCCTCTGAGAAAGATATTCCCCTTCCTCCACAGCTAAGTAGGGTACTGTAAAAAGTCATAGCTTGGGGGAGGGTCTGAACTCAAACCCAGGCCTTAAGATTCCAACTGAACTATGCTTTTGGCATGTCATGTTGCTTCAGTTCACCGTGAGTTAATGGTTCTGAGTAAATGGCTGCTTTCAGGTGGGTTATCCTTTTTCTCTGTTTGCAGTTACATAAATATTTTGAACCTAAATTTCAGGATTAGCATAGATCTCTGCAAATAAACTGCTAAAACTTCTTTGGCCAACTGCTTTAACTTTCAAGGTATTTTTAATCTTCATTCTTCTTCGCAAATTTCATCTGTCCCTTTCAACTTTGTCAGCAACCAGGGAGATGAGTGTATCTTCTGAAGCTTTGTTCAAAATGCTAATGCAGGATGTATAGCAATTTAATGTATAAATAAGAATAATAATACAAAATAATGAAATATTTTATAAAAAAGATGCTAATGCAGGCCAGCAAGTGATTGCGGTAGTCAAGTTGCGGTAGTCAAAAATGCATGGGTTATGAGAAGTGCCGCTAATGATGTATTGATGACAAGCGCTAGGACTAGATTAATTATTTTCTCCTGAGGTTTTATTGGGACTTAC